GCACCCGCCCGCTCCATGCCCCTGCCGGATGCTCCAACCGCCGTTCCCTGAGGGACATTCGGGATATTTCCATTTCCTTCTCTGCGCTGAGAGTTCCCTGTGTGAGTGTGCTCAGGTAAAGCAGCCTCAGGCAGGAGCTGCCCCCCCCTTCTCATCCTCACTGGTCGTGCCTGGAGCTGCTGCACCTTGGAGTGGGAGGATTTTTGCCAGGTTTCTGGAATGCTTACTGCAGGACTCAGTAGCTCATGGTCGAAAAGATTTTCTGCAAGTTGTGAAATTAAAAAAAAACCAAAAAAACAAAACCAAAACAAAGTCTGTGAAAAACGCCAATCACTTGTTTTTCAAATTTTTAAAAGTTTAATAGTAATAAAATGGCTTAAAAAATAGTAACGCAATTAGAGTAATAACAATTTGGACAAATTGAATTAGGACAACATGAGACAATAAATACAAAGAGTTACAGATGTCCGGGTACCTTTTTCTGGGCAGCACGAGCCCAAAAAAGACCCACGTTGACAAAGGATTAACCCTTGAAAACAACAAATAAGGGATTCTGTCTGGTCATCGTCAACTTCTTCCTCTGAATCCTAACAGACCCTTTGAGGCAGGCAGAAGGTAGTTTCTTCTGATAAGAGGGCAATAAATTCTTTTCCTCTGAAAGATTTTGGTGTTCTGTGGCTGCTATCTCGCTGTGAGTCCTTTCTTTAAAGAAAATACGCTACATAGCATCATTTCTATTTTAACAGTTTTTATAACCTAAAACTATATTTAACACAGTACTTAAGAAAATTAATACAGCATTTCTAATACATGATATATAATATTCGTTTTAATATTTGCGAAAAGCCAATCATAAAATACATGCATTTTTCACAAAGTCAATCTTGTACTTAAAGCAATTTGTAATCTAGAAGTTTGTATGGGCTAATTGTCAGCTCTCAGGAAATTAAACACCCAGCTATCTTTTCTTGCCCTTACCTAATGACACAATTGAATATTTTACAATAAAGGCAGCTGTGATGCATTTGTTTTGAAGAAAAAGAGTGAGAATTGTGTGTTGAAACTTAGTACCATTTCCCTTTGCTGTTCAGTATTTTACACTGAATCAAAGAATATGTGTTCTGGGCTTTAATTCTTTTTTAATGGTGCCTTATCTCAGGGGAGCTGGGCAGAACTGGGTAAGTCTGATGGCTAGAGAGCGTGAATAACATTCGCACAGCTTTCTGTGTTTTCAGTGCTCAGTCAGTGACAACTAGCATAAATTACAAAAGCTGAGGAAATGCAAGAATGCTCCTGTCATTGTGTGCATTTTGGTTTAGGTACCAAAGTGAAATGTGCAGTGATTTGAAGAAAGCTCAGCCCAACTGAAGCTAAACATCCTTTAATTAACCTTTGCAGGATGGAGGTGTTCTGAATAGGAAGCCTCTTAGTTTAGAAGTTATTCAAGAAGGTCTTGGAACATGGCAGCCAGAAATGCCTGAAGAGTTCACAGAAACTGCAGGCACCTGTTAAAAGCACAAGTATATGGATCTTTTTGTTTTAGAATAAAAATGGCTGGTTAACAGACATTCTGAAGAGTCAGCCAAGTATATGGATCTTTTTGTTTTAGAATAAAAATGGCTGGTTAACAAACATCCTGAAGAGTCAGCCACCTGCATTCTTCCTCCAAAGAATTACAGATTCTTAGCTCTTGGGCTCTGAGATGTAATTACAGTGTAAGGAGGTTTGGGAGAGCTGAAAAGTCACCATAGCAACCTCCTGGCAAAAATCTTCACTCATCCAACATAAAGCAAAATTTATTTTTATCTGAATGGCCTTAGTGAGCCTGAATGTGTTCTGTGTTCTGGCTCTCTGCTTCACTTCATTGTACTCCTCAGACACAGTTTTTCCTGCTCTAAGTCCTAAAAACCATCTTCTGTATCTTCTAAATGAAAGTTTTGACTAGAAATGGGTGCAGGATGCTGGCTGTTCAATTGAAGTCTGCCTCTGAATTAAGAGAGAGTCCCTCTCGTGGCGTTCCAGACCCTTTGCAATCACCTCCAGTGAAGCTGATAAACAACCTGTGCTGAATAATTTTAAGCATGGATGATGATGGCATAAATGCCACTGGCTGTCAGGTGTGGCTTTTCTCCTCTCAGGAAGGACATTTTGCTGGATGTGTGTTGGGAAGTCTCATATTTAAGCCTCATTCTCCATGGTCTGAACAAGGTCCTTGCCCTGAAGTGGGACAAGGACACTTTTTCCTTAAAGCAATGCTACTGCAGCTGGTAAATCCCAAACTCCTCCTTTACCTAAAACCAGGGTAGGTTTGTTTTGTTTTTTTTTTTTTTGGTTTTTTTTTTGTGTTTTTTTTTTTGTTTGTTTGTTTGGTTTTTTTTAGTGGGGTTTTTTTGTTTTTGTTTTTTGGGGGTTTTTTGCCCTTAAATTATCTTGACACAGCACATCTCATTCCACTGACTTACAGAGGGTTTGGGCTTTCACATCCCAGAAATTTGATAACTCTGTACAGTGAAAAATAAACTCATATTGGGACAGTTCTAGGTGATAGTCAACGTCAACTACTGTAGAAGAGTGTATTGAAAACCAGTATATACAATTTTTATGTGTATGTACATAGATTTTGGATTGGATATTAGGGAAATTTTTTTCACTGTAAGGGTTGTCAGAAACCAGAAGGGGCTGCTCAGGACAGTGGTGGAATCACCATCCCTGGAGTTCTTAAAAAAATGTGTCAATGTGGCACTTGGAGAGATGGATAAGTGATGAACTAGGCAGTGCAGGGTTAACAGTTGAACTTGTCTTAGAGGTCTTTTCCAGCCTTAAAAACTCCAACTTCTGATTCTTGGATATCCTCCAGGCATCTGGTGAGAATGAAAAGGTGGCTAAAAGCTTTCATCCCTTAAGTCTGTTTTTCCTATTGACAAGATTGTTTATGCCAATATTATTTCAGTAATGTTTCAAAACAGAAACCTGAATCATATTGAAGCAGTTTATATCTTCATTAAGAAAGGGTTGGTTTTTTTTAGGACCACTAAAATGCAACTTTTCTCTTGCCTCAAGACTTTATAATTATACAACTGAAAATGGAAATTATTCTGAGAAAGAACATCAAGAGATCTTTGGGGTGGTGGTATCGATTTTACAAATACACAGTGAAATCCTGTTGCTAATTTTAACAGCCTACTTCAGCTAAGAAAGGAAAAATACCAGAAGATGTAAAAAATGTTAAGAGGAAGTACTGCAGAGTGAACCCAGAGGATTGCTCAGAGAGGAAATGACTCAGGCAGTTGCTAAGTAAAGGCAGCTGCCTATTTACAGAGGAATTCAAAGAGTTAAAGGAGAAATCCCCAAACAAAATATCCTCAGCAGAGTGTGGATGGCATGAGGATGCACTAAGAATAAATGTGTCTGAATGAAACCACAGAATTGCCTGAGGTTTGCCATGAGGGGCAGGGGTAAAACAGCCCCAGCCACGGGCAGGAATCAGAGGGCACAGGACCAACCCCTCCAGCCACAGCAGGCACTGGTGATGTGGGCACTGCTGTGCCCTGGTCTGGGTGAAGGAATCCCTGGGGCAGCCAGGACATATCACCTGTGTTAGATAGTGAGCTTCTACTCTAAACCAACCTACAAGTGCCAACATCACAGCAGAAGATGGAAGCCAAGAAGAAGAAGAAAAAGGAGAAAGGCTGGACACACCCAGATTCCTCCATCTTGCCCCCTTGAACCCCCACTCTAGAACCCCAAAAATCTATTTTTCACCCCATGATAAATTCACTATCCTTCTACTTAAACTGTCGTGCCTTGCAGATCTTCATCTAAGGTTGGTCATTTGCTCCATGGGTCATAATCAAAACCACAGGGGTCTTGGGCTCTGTGCCAGGGTCTCTGAGCCCGTGGGAGGGGTCTTGGCAGTCCAGGACAGCCAGAGGGATGTCCTGAATTCCGACAGAGACAAAAGCCGAGTCCCATGACCAACCCTTGAAATGATTCTGGGGGAGAGGGGGGAGCGGGGTTCTTCTGGCAGTTTCTAACCGGGGGTGGTCCCCCTCTGCCCGGCTCGGAGGGGAGGCAGTTTGGGTGGGTTTGGGGCTGGATTTCTTTACCCGGCTCAGAGGGGAGGCAGTTTGGGTGGGTTTGGGTGCTGGATTTCCGCTGCTCGGAGGGGAGGCAGTTTGGGTGGGTTTGGGGCTGGATTTCCGCTGCTCGGAGGGAACGCGGTGTGGCTGCGCTGCTCCGGGCCCGGGCGGCCGGCGGGGCCGACACGAGGCGGCGGCAGCCACGGACGGCGCCGGCACCGGCTCCAGTACCGGGGGCTTCCCTCCGGCGGCAGCACTGAGCGTAGAAGGGGTAAATAGTGTAAAATGTGTACAAAGTGTAAAAAGAGTAAGAAAGTGTACAAAGTGTAAAAAGCCCCGGCGCTTCCGAGGTCCCTGTCATGGTCACGTTCACATTTCTGGGCTGCAGCGCCGCCTTTGACGCGCAGGGGAACCCCGCGAGGCGTCCGAGTGGCCGCGCAGGCGCATTCGGGGGCGCAGTGCCGTTCCTGGCCTGCAGTACCGCGCGCTGCCACCAGGCGGCGGCAGCGACCCGAGCGCTGAGCCCTGCAGGGAGGCGCGGAGCTGCTCCCGCTGCCTGCCCAGAAATCGGGTTTTTTTCTCCCGTTTTTAAGCCCTTTATTGTTTCATTTATATAATTTATATGTACAGAAGTTGCATTTGTATTTTCAAGCCCATATGTATCTTTATTTGTAGGACCAAAACAAAAAATGTGACCCAGAGACATAGGTTAAAACCTGTTCTGTTATCTCCCTTTCTATTTTCTAAAGCCCACTGGAAGGGATCTTTCTTACCCCATATTTATTTCCTTGAAGTTTCTATAAAAGTATAACAGAATTGTGGCTAAGTGTATTCTTTAAAATCAGACAGCTGAGTTTTACCACCTGGGCTTCTTAGCATAAGCAAATAACAGATGTGAAAGTACTCTGCAGGAAGAAAGCATGACATGAAACAAACATTTATTTAAAAGGACTGTACAGACAAATTAAACTCACACTGTTACTCCTATGAGGCACAGGAGTGAAATACTTAAAACACAGAAGCCAGTGAAAACACCAGATATTGCTAGAATACCTAAATACTAAAATGAAAATGTATGCTGGAGGAATTAGGAAACTGTAAAATAAAAGAATAAAGCACTTTTTAATGTATTTAAAGTGCTAGTGAAGTCCTAATTTCTTGAATAGTATGCTATTTAAAGTAACACATCAATGTCTACTCTTTCAAATTTAGATTATGTAAATTGAAGCCACTGTCAGGTTCAGTCAGGGTCCTGTTTATAAAGCTAAGGTTGAATCCAGGAAGTGCAAGTATTTAAATTTGCCTTACATTTTCTCTGTAGTTAATGTGTCCTTGGCACTGAAGTTTGGACAACTGATCCACCCCAGCTTGGGTGTGAAAATTTCTGTAGCAAAGCATTTAGATGCAGTACACTGTTTGCATCCTTTTACTTATGAGCTTAGGGTTGATGGCAGGGTGAAAGTCTTGGGATTTTGGTTTTTTTCTGTTTGGTTGCAGAACAACAGGACTATCCTTTGAGGCAAGTGATGAACAAAGATCCTGGAAACCATCTTTACCAAGAAAATCCAGTTCTTTTGCTGTTGCATGGATGCCCTTTTAAAAACAGAACAACAAAGACAGGGTTAAACCAGACTTCAGTAGTCTCTTAAGCTTTGAGGAGGGTCTCATTGTGGCTACTCAGACAATTTGACCCAAATAAGAATAAATTTAAGTGAAGTGGAGACGTACCCACAAAGACTTCAGGTACAAACGAAGAAGCCATTGTTGCTCCATGAAGCAAAAATGCAGCAGACTTGTGTTAAAAGCTGTACTTCAGACAGCTTCCTCTTCTGTCTGAATAGCAAGAAATCAATATTTCATAATTATTCCTCCAGTCTCTTGAGAGAGTTGCCTGGGAGAAAAGAGCCTGGGGCTGTCACGAGAAGAGTTCTTCGGTTAAACTTCTGTGATTGTTCCGTGAGAGAAAAGAGAACTCCTTCCCTATGAGAGACACTGCTTCCCTCCCTGCCCCCACCCCCATGGTCCCCTAACACATAACACATATTTTATCTCCTGAAATGGCTGGAATCATAGAACAGCTCAAGTATGAAGGGATCCATAAGGATCATCAGGTCCAACTGCCTAGCATTAAACTGTTTGGCTGAGAGTGAAATCCAGGTGATGCTCCAACCCTACAGGCTTGGTGCCTTGGCCACTTCCCTGGGTCACTGGGCCAGTGACCAAGCACTGTCTCAGAGAAGAACCTTCTCCTGGTGTCCAATCTGAGCTTCCCTCAATGCAGCTTCATTCTATCTCCTCATGTCCAGTTGCTGGCCATCAGAGGGGGATCAGCACCTCCTCCTCCCCTGGAGGAAGCTGTAGGCTGTGATGAGGGCACCCTTCAGCCCTCTTTTCTCCAAACTGAACAAGCCAAGTGTCCTCAGCTGCTCCTCAGAGGTTTTGTCCTTGGGACCTTCTGCAGTCCTGGTCACACAGGTGACTCCAGAGTAACAGTGATGTCCTTCCTGCACTGAGGCACCCCAAACTGCCCCCAGTGCCCAAGGCCCCACCGGTGCAGAGCAGAGTGAGACAATCAGCTGGCAATGCTGTGCTGCATGTGCCCCAGGTTGTGGTTGGCCCTTCTGGCAGCCAGGGCACCCTGCTGACTTATCTCCAGTTACACTCACCCTCAGCAATGATGCTGTTCGTATGGCAGAATATCCTTTGTAAAGGATGTAAAAATTGTAAATACTAGTACAATTGATGCAAACACAGTGCGTCAGATTCACTTTAAAAAAACCAAAAACCAAACTCTAACCTTGTAAACACAAGAGAACATGAAACTAGTTTAAAAAAGTAAAAGTACAAAACTGTTGTACTAACTTAGTAAATGATGCATCCTTAAGTATACTTCAGTTCAGGGATCTCCCAAGAAAGAAAACCTGGCAAAGTAACAGTAAAGTGAGAACAACTATGACTAACCCTACCTATTTCAGAACTGTAAGTACAAATCAATCCTGCTATTCACACTACATCATTGCAGACCATTCACCCACTGCATTGTCACTACTTCTTAAATTTATGTACAACTACCATCAAAGTATGCTGCTCTCCTGCATGCATTTTGGGGAAGCCCACATTCTGTCTTTTAACTCTGTGCAGTTTCCCTTCAACTCCATAGGAATTGCTCTGAACAGGGCACACAGCATGAGACCACTCTGACATTTGGAACAGTAAAATCCAGTATTTGTGCCACAAAACATGCATAACATACTATTGCCATTTGGAGCATGGAGACTTTCTTCCATTATTGCTATCTCAGAGACCAAATCCCTGTAGTTCAGCTAGCAGAATCTGCTCTTCACACAATTTCAGGGGCAGGTGGTCCACATTGTGTCTGCTGTTGACAGATGTTGATTTGTAACATGAAAACATTAAAGATGTTGATTTGTAGATTAAAAGATATTGGCTATGTAACATTAAAATGGGGGAATATCTCCTGAACCTGGTTCAAGTTTTAGGACTATGCTCAGTAAATCACTCATGTACTTAGTGGCAGACTTAGGAAATTAATGGCAATGTATGTGATTTGGCCAGCAAAATTGCATCACGTGGATTTATTCCAGTTGCCAGCATTTGCAAAGTTCTTAGAGCAGAGACTTGAGGCTTCCCTGTTCTTCCTGTCTAACAAGCCAAATTCCCAATATAACCACTCTAACATAATATAGAGAGAAACCTGGGCTAAAGAGAGAATTGTGTGAACAAGCAGTTCCTGCATCCCAGAGTTAGTGAAAAGAATATTTAACACTTGAAATCAATTTAAGCTACAAAGGTGGTCACAAAACTGGGATTAGAGATGAGTAAATTTCAAGTGCCAGTTCTGTAAGTGGATCACTGCCATCCTCCCCATTGCAAGAACTATTGTTCAATTACATGAAACAAAGGGAAGACACACAGGGAGTGATCAACTCCAGATGCTTTAGTCAGGGTTCTTTTGGCACACAGGGAACAAGAAAACAAACTGTCCTGAAGTAAAACTTATTTGAAAATGACCTATTAAAAGACAGAAAATTAGAAAGTTTTGGTTGAGGGAGGACAATGACACCAAAGCTTGTTGCTTCTGGTGAAATACATAATTTTTAGTTAATGCTGTTCCTCATGCATGTTCCTGAACTTTCCTATGCTCCAGTGGAGGCCATGTCTGCCAGATTTTGGCTGTAGAAACCAGGAACAGAGGACATGCAGAATGGCTGATGTGCAGTCTGTGCACACAGAGATCTGGGATATATCATGCATGATTCCTATAGAACCACAGTGCATTGGTCAGTCATAAAGCCTAGGAGGACCACTAATACAGTTCACTTCAGCCTTGTTCTTAAGTCAATCAGTCTTTTGACTACTGAAAAGAATAACCTGTTAAGATATTAAAGCATGACAAATTACATAATTTTTAGAAATTCATACACAGCCAGCACTTTTTCAAGTTTTAAGTCAAGTCTGAGGGAATGGTACAATCAACTTCAGTAAATCAAAACCCATGTGTGTCCTTAATGCACCGATTTTCTGTATAACAAGTCTCCTTTTCCCTGAACATTTTCTGTTTAAAAAGAGTTGCATTGGATACCCAAACCTACCCAGTCTTATGAGATTGGAGAACAAATTGTTCTTCAGCGAAACAAACAGACAGTCTGCTCTTTCAGCACTTGAAATAGTCCCCTGTTATCAGGAGAAAACAGAATAATCTTTTAGTAACATCTGTTTTTTAAAAAGGGAACATAAAAGCATTTGTGGTAATTACATTTGATCAATAGAAATAGCCTGACATTTAGGATACTTGCACAAAGAATTCCAGTTTGTTTAGGAGTACAAAAGATGGGGCAATTGAAATGTTAAACTGTAGCACCAGTAATATTTACTTTCCTAAAACCAAATCCTAAAGACTGGAAGGAACTTAGAGCAGGATCATTGTGCTTACATTGCATTTAAATAGAAAATAATGAGACAGTCATACTTGAGTCTGCAGTTCAGCAAAGTCTGGGCAAATTTGCCATTCTACTGGAAGAGTACTGGGACAGGAGCTGGTCACAATCTTCTGGATTTCATTCATCCTGTTTCCTCTTGGGCTTTTTGGGGTTCCGAGAGCGGCTCTTGGCTTTGCACAGGGGACAAATGGGCGCGTTCCGGTGGATTTGCTGGTGACACGACAAACACGCCTGAAATGCAATTGCAGCCTCTGGTTACAAACACCAAAGTGGCCTTGGCACACAGGTTATTTATTGGGGCACATGAAACATGAATGCCTTATAAATATGATTGCCTGGCAAAAGATTTTGAGAATATAGAAACTATAAGTGAGATTGAAATGAAAGCAAGCTTTGAGATACCAAGCCTCAGTTACTCAGAACAACAGGAAAACAATGGTGTGGCCAGGTGAAGGTGATTTCCTTTTGATGAAACAATACCCTCCGCTTGCAGACAGGTCCAAGGGTCAGAGCAGACCCTGCCAGCTTGGCAGAAGGGGCCCAAAAAGGAGTTTTTAGGGTTTAAAATGTAACACAGTATAGTAATGTAATGATTCTTATAGGCTGTATGGAAATGCTATAAGATTTTTATCTTGTACTAGATTGGTTAGTGAGAATTAGAATATTCAACACAGAAGAAGATTTATTGTATTGTAACGGGAACCTCACTCTCTTACCCTCTTACTCTCTTACGCTTTTTACTCCCTTACCCTTTGACTCTCTCACCCTCTCAATCCTCTCTCCCCCTCTCTTCTCTCAGGCCTGCTCTGAGCTGTGTTTGGCAGCTCCCAGCAGGGTCCTGCACCCAGGCCTTCTGCAATAAACCACAAGTTCCAGACCTGGCTGCAGAGATCTCTCATCTCCATGCATCCTGAATGTCCTACAGTTGTTGAGTTCCAGTACAGACAAAACCAAGGCTCCTCGCCTGCAAAGGCAGACTCCTGCTGTATTCTACACAATCTAGGTTATGTGGATTGTAATTTCAGGCTTACTGAAAAACAGAGCATCTCATTGAATTAAAACTGCATTTCTGCAGACATGTGGCTCACACATGTACCAGTAACTTTAAATTCTATTTTGTGTTAAAGGTTACAGTGATGTTTTAAAGGTGTTTACATGCCTAATAGCTCACTGAGTCAGAGAAGTTACAGGCCAACTGCAGTGTCACAGAATTGGAGGCAGGAGCAGGTGATTGGATGAATTCCACATATTTAACACAGGTACAGAACTCTGCCCTTTTGCTCCAGACTAAGCCCTGTAATTTATGTCTGACTGAAGCCTATTACTTGCAGAATGGCTTTTCAATTGCCTAGCTACAGATAGAGAGTATATTACTTTGGGGTGTACCTACATCAGTTTGCTGCCTTAGTGACTCTGGAACCTGGGTGGGAGGAATACCCCAATGTAACTACTTAACTCTTCTCACTGCATAAGGAGCTGAGTAAAACTGTCACTGAAGTGCCTGTGGTTATGTTACATTAATCCACATGTTACTCTTGAAGATCCCAAGTGCAGAAGCAATTGCTTTTCCTGGTAATTTACACCATTGGTAATTTCCCACATAAAATATGTGCACTGTTTTTAATATGACTCCATATGGCATAAAATAAGAGCCACTACTTTTTCTTTTGCCAAGTTTTTTTTCTTTTTCTTACAGGCCTTGCTCCCATGTGAAACACAAGAGGAATGGGGATTGCCTACATCTCTGCTGAGGGTGACTTTTAAATCCTAAAAGATTCTTATCCTTAACCCTTGATGACTGGTGCTACTACTTTGGTCTACTGCTTGCTCTTGTTTTGAACCACTGCAAGGAAAATTGCAATCAGAACACGTAATTTTTCCTTTTCACAAGCATCAATCACCTTCTGAACATAATGCATTCCAATGACAAAAGAGAAAACCCAGCACATTCCATCTGCTGACCTTCATTGGAGGTGGCTGCTGTCTGAAAGTTGCTGTCTGCCTGGTGTCCTGCTTCCTGGCCACCTGCAGCTGTTGGGCAGCTGCTGCAGCTGCAGCCAGAGACTCTGGGATGGGAGGCTCCTGTGGTTCTGTCTGCCATTCTGCTTTCTGCTTTTCAAAGTAGCTAGACAAAAGAATGACAAACGAAAAAATGTAACCACCTTCTGCAGTATTTCATTAGTCTGTAAAGGATATTTGGTGTTAAAATACAGTGGATCACATTTCCCTATTGTGTTCCTCCACTAGAGTCAAACTGCCAAATTGCCTACACATTGACTAGTTCATAAATGGAATATGTGGTGTTTCCTTCTGCATTTCTACACTTCAGCCAGATTCCAGACTGGATGTAAATCTGGTAAGATGAAAAACAGACAACATGTATAGAAGAAAAATAGGCAACAGCTTCAGATGCACCTCTGTCTAACAGTTTTTCTATTTTATTTTGTTAAAATTAATAACTTTTATACACAACAGATTAATAAACAGATCAATACATTCTTTGTAGTGTCAAGGCGTTTGGAATGTAAACCAACATTTATATAGAAATACAAAGGAAATCTTGAAAACTCTGTGTGTGTGTAAATATATATATATAGTATATATATTAATTATATATAGCAATTGTACTATAGTAATTGTACTTATACTGTATAGTATTGTAAAAGTATATATATTAATTGTGCAATAAGAGCAGTACATGCTTATTAAAATGTCCCTTGCATTTAAGACTGGTCTATTAAGCAAAGGACACTGTTCTTTGAACAGTAGCTAATTCTGCCACTCTGCCCTGCCTAAGTTATATGTAAAAATGAGACTGTGATTTATTATCCAAATCCATTCCACATCTCAGGGAAACTTGTTGACAGTCACAGGTATTTGGCTAAAAGCCACTGCCATGTGCAGCAGCAAAAAGTAAAACTCTGACTAGGAGCAGCACAACCCAACTGAAGTATACCTGGTTTGTATCCCTCTCGTGTGTTGCCTCCTACTATTGCTCGCTAAAGAAGTAATTTTCAAGGAAAAATAAAAATATAGAAAAAGCAACATAGAGTATAAAACCTAGAAGGCTAACAACCACCCTTGAATGTTTGCATGTGGCATGTAGAGTTTGCACCCTGGAATAACCTAAATTTAACTTGGAACAAATTCAGACTGAATGTTATCAAACACATGTCCTCCACATCCCTTTTTTGTTAACTTCTGTTTTTCATGCTTACCTCTAGGGTTGTTTTTTTCCACCTACCAACAAAATTAAGATGAGAAAATAACCAGTCGAATTGAAAGAAAGCACAGAGCCAGATAAAGTTTGCTTTGGAGACTTACTCAAGGGACAGTTTCTCTTCCTCCTCACACAGGTCTGGCAGCCTCTGCAGACCCAGGGTCATCCTCAAGGCATCCACGTGCTCCTTGAGGGGCTTGTACTCCTCGTGCAGCCGGCGAGTTGATTCCAGGAGCTTGTTCAGATCGTTCTCAGACTGCTTGATGGTGTTCTCCATCTGAAACAGCAGGTTGGGCATGCATTTAAAGAACTGCTCCTCTCTGACTGAGCAACTGGTTGGACCAGAAAGAGGAGATTTTTCTCACTCGAGTTGGAAGAGATTTGAGACAATGAAATAGTAAAGCAAAGACTTAAGGTGTTGGGAGGATGAAAAATGGGCAAAGGAGAAGCAACAGAAAATGACATATGAGATGCATTTTCATTTTTAAAAAGTGCACTCAACCTACAGTACCTTCTGAACAACAGAAAAAGCAGAGAGGCTACAAATAAAGCTGGCAAGTGAGGAGCTATGGAAGACTCTCAAGAGACATTAAAAAAGAGCTTAAAGTAACAAAAATTTATTTTTTGTGTTTCTAAGATACCTGAACACTGATTGGCAGAAGATAACAAACAAGCTAAGGCAAGTTTTCTGCTTCTCTTATGCAGCAAGTGGGAAAAGCAGCAGAGAAAAAGACAATCTGACTGCACAAAGAGAGGAGGATGGAACAGAGGCTGAGGTTGTGTAGCTGGGCAGGGGAACAGACATTTGAAACCATAAATAAATGCAGTCTGCACACCCAGTACATAGCTTGTACTTTTTTGCTTATTGGAGCTTTTTCTTATTGGAGCTTTTCTTTTTTCTTTTTTCTTATTGGAGCTTTTTTCTTACAGTGCAACACAGACACCTTCAGAGCTAAAAACACCATGTAAGTGCCCTAACATGACATAAAAAATGTATTTAAAAATATATTCCCTATTCAGCCCCTCTAATTGGCTAATCTTCCCTGTTTATAAATTTTTTCTCTTATTTGTATTAATTCCCTTCAGGCTGGTGCTTCTTGATGTTTGGTGATTCCACTCTGGGATGAAGGTCAGCTCTTACTATGAATTTAACAAACACCATGTAATTTCTCAAAATCTCCTAGTCCCACCTAGCTGCCAGAGTTTCTGTGTGCTAAATTAGAACAGGCTAACAGGAAGAACTGTTTTCTATGAGACAGCTGGTGTGGTATCACTGTGGCTCTGGTAAAGTCACAGCCACAACAGGGTTAGTTATCTTATCTATCCTCTAAGTGCAACAGCTTTGTAAAATATCCTGCCCTACAAAAAGAAATAACAATTATCCTGAGGTATATTTGCTTTGCACTCTCTGTAGGATCCCAGGATGGTGTTGTAAAGTGCACATTATTGCACCAGTGATGCTTCACTCATGTGCACAGTTCCACAAGCTGGGGGATGATTCACGTGCAGCTGTGTCTGAGTCAGAGTGTCTGAGCTGGGCTGGCACTCACCACGTTAATGTCAGCGTGGATCAGTCTCAGCTCCTCCACGTGAGCCATCTTCTCCTGCAGCAGCAGGTCCATTTCTTGTTTGTATTCTTTCAGGTGCCTCTCCTCAGACTCCAGGGCTTCAAATTCTGCTTTCAGTCTTGCCTTTATTTTTTCCATCTGCAAAGTCTTATTCCTGAATCCCAGTGACAATTAAAACATAGAGAGACAACAGTAAGTCACTGACACATTTTTGTGTGAGGTGTCAGTTTATATGGGATTAGATAGACGACAGAAGGCAATAGCAGCAATAGACAAGAATGAGACTAAATGAATCTGAGAGAAGGTGAATACAAGGAGAATACTGAATTCTAATGTCAGCTCTTTTGCTGAGCTTTTCAGTAGTAAGAGAATCCTTGTACTGAATTATGAAATTAATAGAATGTTGTGAGGTTTTGACCAGAAGAGCATGGCAGAAAGCATGGTCAGTCACTCAGACAATTAATTATGGCTACATATTCCAGGCCTCTGTCTGTAGAATACATGAAATACAGATTAAAATAAAGTCTGCTAACTCTGTCAAAGGTGAATCTGTAAACATAAGGAAATCTCATGTTTGGTTTGAAGGAAATTCTTCACAGAATGCAAGCTTCAAATGAATAAATAGGTTTATTTGATCAGATTTTGTTAAAAGTGACTCAAATTGACATCAGTGTTGCAAGTAGGACTAGCTTTTCGACACTGATTTTTTTTATTTAAAATACACTCAAGTAACTTGTTTGATACTTCACTGTACACTAAAGCTAAGCATCACCTTTGCTCTACCTTATACCACAAAATAATAGCAAAAATCCGTCAAGTGCAGTTAAAACTTCACCTTTGAATATATGATCAGAAAACTGAATGCACTGTAAATTTCCAAATACAGGATAACACTCAATGAAAAATTACTTTAAGTGTTACAGTAATTGGACCACACACTGTAGTAGGCCATACTTAGATCTGTTTTCTAAAACAGAGCCTGTGTACCTGTTGAGCACAAAATCATTGTTCTTACACTGTCGCATCTCTTTCTACAAATAGTTTGGGGATACTAGAGAGGCAAATATTTTGGCTTGATCTTTGTTCACCTCTGTGGTATTGTGTGAAGAAGGCTGAGGCCCATACTCTGCTGCCAAATTCACTTGTTCCATGAATAAAGTGTTCCTTAGAGATGCTGTAACCAGCCACAAGTGCCTGTGATCACCTGGGAGCTGGGATTCCTCTCTGCCAGCCCCTCTCTGGCTGTCATGTCCCAAACACTTCTCATGGCTCTGGGGTTCACAGTCAGCATGCCTTCCACCCCCGAGCTGCATTCATAACCTCTGTTCTCTCTAAGGTGTTTTGGCTCCAACTAAACAGACAGCTCAGGCCTAACGCTGGAAATTGGTGCCCCAAACCAAGGAGTGGAAACTCTCTGCCGAAAGTTATGGAAAAGGTTCCCGATGCAGGAACGTGCTGTACCCTGCCTGGCTTTTAATGAGCCCCCTCTCCCACAGCATCCTGCAGCTCACCCTACAAAGGATGCTATAACAAATTCCCTGTGCTCTGCACGGCATGAACCGCAGCCCTCGGGCCTTGTGGCAGGAGGGCATGGATGAAAAAGCCCCGGTGTGCCCGGTGTGCCCGGTGTGTCCCCATCCCCGGTGTGCCCAG